TTGCCGATGCCGTAGGCTATAGCAGCAAGGGCCGGCTCGCTGATGATGTGCAGCACATTGAGACCGGCAAGGGAGGCAGCGTCCTTGGTTGCTTGTCGCTGGTCGTTACTATAAAAAACTGGCACGCCGATGACAGCATTAGTGACAGTAGTGCCCAGATACGCTTCAGCGGTCTCCTTCATTTTGCTCAACAACATTGAGGTAATCTCTTCCGGGGTGAAGCGTTTAGTCTCTCCCTTGAACTTCACCTGAATCACCGGTTTTCCATTGCCATCGTTTACCACCTCAAAAGGCCAGAGTTTCATGTTTTCTTGCACAACTGGGTCATCAAAGCATCGACCGATGAGGCGCTTGACGCCAAAAACGGTGTTCTCAGGGTTTCGGGCCGCCTGTTTCTTGGCCGCATCGCCGATCAACAGCTCAGTGTCGGTGAAAGCGACCATTGATGGAGTCACTCGCTGGCCGTGATCGTTGACGATGATCTTCGTCATCTCGTTTTGGAACACGCCAACGCAGGAGTTGGTGGTGCCCAGGTAAATGCCAATGGCAACAGCTGTAGATGACATTACCTGTAGCATAATGATTAAGGCAAATAAAGTAACCAATCTATTGTTGTCACAACAGAAAGTACTCACCACTAGGGAAACGTCTTTACCGATCAAAAGAAAAATCCAAAAAAGAAGAAGAAACAAAAAGATGTGCAAATCGTTAGCTGCACAGGAACAAATCAGCGTCAGCAGCTTGCTTAACTGCAGAGAGTGAGCTCAAGTGGACGTGCTGCTACACTTTTGCTTTTAGTGTCTTCAGTGGCTTCTCTGCCAGTGCAGCCTCTCTCAACCGCCGCCGCCGTTCTCCTGCCCAGTGTCCTTCCCCAGTCTGCCCCCTTAGCGACCGAACGACCCCCGTATTCCTCGCCANAGCTTGCTTAACTGCAGAGAGTGAGCTCAAGTGGACGTGCTGCTACACTTTTGCTTTTAGTGTCTTCAGTGGCTTCTCTGCCAGTGCAGCCTCTCTCAACCGCCGCCGCCGTTCTCCTGCCCAGTGTCCTTCCCCAGTCTGCCCCCTTAGCGACCGAACGACCCCCGTATTCCTCGCCAGTTAGTCATCACAACAGCCACTCTCAGCAGCATTACGTCAGTGTTCCTCAAACTGTTCAGTGATTTACTGCTTCCTGGGCAGACGAGCACAAGGGCAGTCGCATCTGGCGAGCACTCTTTTTCTTCTGCCGCCACGCAAGGCCGTCCCCATGGCTGATGGCCGCTCTTCCCCCTTTTCCCACTTTCTGCTCTGCATTTTAAATGCCTGCAAATTTTCACAAAAAAGAAATCTTAAAAAATGAAAGGAGTTACAGTTTTAGTTTTTTGACAAATAAAACAAACATATTTTTTAGTGTGAACCCTTTAACCCAATACAAAATATAAAATAAATGGGGAATAAAATTAGATGCGGTGTCTGCTGCTTTAATGGGATGGCAGTAAAGCTGCCTGATGTGTAAATGAGGAGCTCATTTCTTCAGAGCCAGTTTCTCAATGACAGGCTTGCAGACTGCCTCTAGCTTAGCTCGCTTCTTTTCCAGTTCCTTCTTCTTTGCCTGTTCATTGTTCTGCAGCCAGGCCAGAGTGTTCACTACCTTTTCCATTGCCCGGCGTTGCTCAGCCACTTCGNTTTTTTAGTGTGAACCCTTTAACCCAATACAAAATATAAAATAAATGGGGGATAAAATTAGATGCGGTGTTCGCTGCTTTAATGGGATGGCAGTAAAGCTGCCTGATGTGTAAATCAGGAGCTCATTTTTTCAAAGCCAGTTTCTCAATGACAGGCTTGCAGACTGCCTCTAGCTTAGCTCGCTTTTTTTCCAGTTCCTTCTTCTTTGCCTGTTCATTGTTCTGCAGCCAGGCCAGAGTGTTCACCACCTTTTCCATTGCCCGGCGTTGCTCAGCCACTTCANTTTTTTAGTGTGAACCCTTTAACCCAATACAAAATATAAAATAAATGGGGAATAAAATTAGATGCGGTGTCTGCTGCTTTAATGGGATGGCAGTAAAGCTGCCTGATGTGTAAATGAGGAGCTCATTTCTTCAGAGCCAGTNGGTGTTCGCTGCTTTAATGGGATGGCAGTAAAGCTGCCTGATGTGTAAATCAGGAGCTCATTTTTTCAAAGCCAGTTTCTCAATGACAGGCTTGCAGACTGCCTCTAGCTTAGCTCGCTTTTTTTCCAGTTCCTTCTTCTTTGCCTGTTCATTGTTCTGCAGCCAGGCCAGAGTGTTCACCACCTTTTCCATTGCCCGGCGTTGCTCAGCCACTTCAAGGTAGTTTTCAGCTGCCAGTGTGCGCTTCATCTGATAGGCGTGCTCCAGGAGTGCGTTGAACATACTGACTCGCTTACGCTGAAGTCCATCCTCCAGTTGGTACTGCATGGTGGCCTCCCAGACCAGGCGCTCGACCTTCTCCTTGGGCAGACACCACTGGTCGTGAAGAATGGTGATGCAACTCTTCTGGCCAGTGCCTACCACCTGAGCAGTCACCTCCAGAATGCCATAGTTGTCAATTTTAAAAGAAACGTCAAACTGCGTCTTGCCACAAAGATTTGATGGAATGTCTGTTAATTGAAGCGTTCCAAGGCAGTGGTTGTCACTGGCCATCGCTCGCTCTCCAGTGTACACTTTGTATAGAGCAGAAGTCTGGTAATCCCAGGTGGTAGAAAGGCGCATCGTTTTTCGAACCGGAAAAGTGGTGTGGCGCTCGATCACCGTCTTCATGGCACCGCCTGAAGCATTAATTCCAAGCGAAAGTGGAGTGGTGCCACTTAGGTTAGCTTCATTCAGCAAAAAGGGAAAAAAAGAGGAGTTGCCGATGAGAACATCCGCCTGGACGGCAGCGCTGTAGGCGACAGTTTCCTCTGGGTTGATCTGCTTGCGCAGCACTTTGCCGACAAAGAACTCCTTCAACAAAGCCTGAACTTCAGGCATGTGCGTCGAGCCGCCCAACAGGATCACCTCGTCGATCTGACTTTTGTCAAGTTCTGCATTTCTGAGCGCTTTTTTCACCGGTTTAAGTGTGGAATGAAATAGGTCAGAGCACAGTGCCTCAAATTCGGCCCGAGTGAAGGGGGCTATAAAGTCGACCGTCTTGAAAAGTGAATCCACTTCAATGAACGTCTGTGTGGTAAAAGAGAGCACACGTTTGGCTTGCTCACAGGCAGCTCGAAGTCGGGAAAGGGCTCGCTTTGTAGTGGAAATGTCCTTTTGGTGCTGACGTTTAAACTCCTCCGCAAAGTGCTCTACCAGACGATTGTCAAAGTCTTTCCCTCCCAAGTTACTGCAAACGGCGGATTTCTCGTCAAAAAGGTAAACACCGTTTCCTCTTTTGAGAAGAGAGACTTCAAGCGTGGCGCCACCAAGATGAAAGACGAGCACATTCTTTTTAGTGCTGTTGAGACCAAAGACAAAGGTGGCAGACGCTGGTTTGATGATGATGCGCAGCACATTGAGACCGGCAAAGGAGGCGGCGTCTTTGATTGCCTGTTCCTTGAGGGCGTCTTTGAAATTAGTGGGTACAGCGATGACAGCATTAGTGACAGTAGTGCCCAGAAACGCTTCAGCGGTCTCCTTCATTTTGCCCAACAACAATGAGGTGATCTCTTCCGGAGTGAAGCATTTGATTTCTCCCTTGAACTTCACCTGAATCACCGCTTTTCCATTGCCATCACTCACCACCTCAAAAGGCCAGCGTTTCATGTCCTCCTGCACAGCTGGGTCATCAAAGCGTCGACCGATGAGGCGGTTGACATCGAAAACAGTGTTTTCAGGGTTCCTCACCGCCTGTTTCTTGGCCGCATCGCCGATCAACAATTCAGTGTCGGTGAAGGCGACCATTGATGGAGTCACTCGGTGGCCGTGATCGTTGACGATGATCTCCACTTTTCCGTTGTGAAAAGCGCCCACACAGGAGTTGGTGGTGCCCAGGTCGATGCCGATGGCAACAGCTGGGGATGGTGGTGGAGGTGTGGATGACATTTTCTGCAGCAAAATAGTTGTGAATAAAGTTAAGTTTTGTTGCTTGCTGTCAAAACTAAAAGTACTCACCGCCGGTTAGAAGTATCAGTTACCACGAAAGAAAAAAGGAGGAAAAACGCAAAATGCACAGGAATCAGCACCAGCAGTCTGATCAGTATGAGTGAATCAACGCAAGTGACAAAATCGCTTTCGCAGTTTCAATTTTCAGCAGCACCATTAGCTTTGCACACATTTCACTGCACAGCCACAAGTGTCCCTCTCTGGTGAAGAGTCTCTCCCACTACTGCCAGCAACAGTCTGCCACCGACAGAAGCAAACTCCTGCCCAGTTAGTCATCACCGCCGCCACTCTCTGAAGCATTGCATCAGTAGTTAATAGCTTTTTCTTCCTCGAACTGTTTAGAGAGTCCCTGGGTTAAGGGAGACTGGTCGCATCTGGCGAGCACTGTTATTCTGTCACCACTTGTGACTCACCACTAAAGGCCGTCACCATCACTGATGACCTCTTTTCTTTTTAATTCTCTCTGGTTCGCTTTCACTTGCTCAATGTCCCACTTGTTTATTGTTTTGTTAAGTTAAAATGTAAACTACCGTTGGTGTTCAGATCACCATGGTCAACTAGTGAAAGGCCGAGAAAAAAAGCTTTATGGGTTTGTTTTAAAACAGATAATAAAATGGTAAGATGATGTGATTTGCAGGATTGTGGTCCAAATGATAGACAACGGCAAAAAATGTCTGTTTCAGCTTCAATTTCTTTATCAGCAGTTCATCTGCAGTGAGATTTGTTTGAGTGAAGTAGACGCAAACAGCCTGACCAAGAAGACTACTGAGAGAAGAAAAGTGGCCACGCCCACCAGCAGAATGATGAAACTGGCTTGCAAGTAGAACACATAGCCGAAGAAGGTGATCGCCTGGGCGAGCACGAAGACAATCGTCAGTACAAAGTGCCGTTTATACAGTGCCATCATTCCAAAAAGAAAAACGAGCATCAAACCGATGTGCCAGAAAACTGTAGACCGCTCGCAGTGACGTACGCACAGACTGTGTGACATTGTGAGGCGGTCAAAAAAGCTGGTGTTCGGCTTGCAGTCGATGCACTGGCTTAAACTGCCAATCATTAAGCCTAAGTGAGAGCCCATCAGAAGGCATAGGCTAAATCGAATGTCTCTGTCCCAAGAGTTGGCTTTGGCTTTGGAGTCGGTAGAAGAGCTTGTAGTAACTCGGGAGTAATTGCCTGTAGTAGACGAGGTGGAGTTCTTTTCAAAAATCGCCATTTTCGTTGTGGTGGTAGTAGTCGGATGAGCTTGTTGGCAGGTTTTGACTAGTATTGTCGATGACGATTTTTTTACTGATTGTCAATAAGGGTGACTTTTATATTAAACCAACTTATCTATACGAGACTGCGGTTCTTGTGTGCAAGTTTTGTACTGTATTGTATTCTAGTGTGCAAGTTTTGTACTGTATTGTATTCTAGTGTGCAATGCAGTTCTGTCGGTTTAAACTAATCATTTCTCTAGAAAAACATACTTTTGGAGCCAGAACCACTTCTCCAGTAAAGTGGCCTACCGGCGTAACCAGTGGCAAAGAGAGATATGCTTGTAAATTGCAACTGTAACTGCTTCAATTAAATTGGGTTGGCATACTTATCAACTCAATCAAATACAAAATTTTACTTTAGATAAAAATAAAACCATTCAAAGAACAGAAATAATTTTTTTAAGTTTTTTAATTTCAACTCATGTGCGAGAATCAGCATTTGGTGTTTGTCGTGCGAAGCACCAAACGCCGAAAAGTGCACTTTTGCTCTGCTTTCCCCGAACATTTTTCGACTGTTCGTCAGTCGAACCATGTGATGATAAAGAGTGCACTCTCAGACTGACAAATAGAGACTGGAAATAAACTAAACTAAACACTAAAAACAGCCTTTATTCAACACAGACACAGAGTCAATCTTAGAACCTTTTAGTGCATCATCAACTTGATGACATCAAGTAATAACAATCATCAGCAACAACAGCTGCTATTGCCGCCATTGATGTCATTGCTGGTGCTGTTCATGATGGCCGTTTGCAGAGTGGGTGGAGACTGCCTGTCGCTGTGAAGGCAGGACAAAGACCAGTGTGCTTCTGTTCTCCACAGTGGTTAACTGTTAATTCCTCAAAATCCAAAACCCAAAAACTTTTATTGCACTTAGATGTTTTACGAAATGTCATCAATTAGAGTTCATTTTAAATTAAAATATTTTAGTTTTGAGACTGGAACGAGACGACAAAATCAATGATGACCACCAGGAGAAACTAATGGCAGCAGACAAAACAGTTCAGGCCTGGGCAGGCTGGCGAAGATATGCGCAGCCGAAACAGGACGACTGTACTCATAGTACTCATTTAGAAGAAGACTGTCCTGATGCAGTGCAAATCAGCAAATCTTTCTGTCTCTTTTTCTTTTGATAAGCTCCGCTCGGCTGATAATGACTGGCGTAATCCAGCTCTTGTCGCGTGGTGGTCTTGGTGGTCGTGGTCGTGGTGATACCAATATATAAAAAACAGCTTTTCGCCGTTTTCTAGTCACACTCAGCAAGGCCTGACCAACAAGCCCGAACGCAACTATGACTACATTTCTCTTCCTAGTCCTCATCCTTCTGCTGCTGCTGGCGGCCTACCTCCTTCAGCGGTACCGCGACATGACCATCCTCCAGAGGAACGGCATTCCCGGCCCTAAGCCGAACCTGATCACCGGCAGTCTTTTTGATCACTCTCGAACGCCCAACGTGCTGAAGTACGACGAGTACTTTGCCAAGTACGGCCCCATCGTCGGCTACTACATCGGCCGGAAGGCGAACGTGCTGATCAACGACGTCGAGCTGGCGAAGCGCATTCAGATCAAGGACTTTAGCAACTTCAGCGACCGCCAGACGCTGGGCATCAAGTACGGCCTTCATCCTAATCCGAAGTACTACCTCCACCTGATCAGCGCCCAGGGGGCCCAGTGGAAGGAGCTTCGAACGCTGCTCAATCCTACCTTCAGCGCCGTTAAGCTGAAGGCGATGACGCCCATCATGGACAGCTGCATCGACATTCTGCTGGACAAGGTGGAGAAGCGGGCTGCTTCAGGAGGTGAATTCGACCTGTACGAGGCCTTTCAGCTGCTGACCACCGATGTCATCGCCAAGTGCGCCCTGGGCATCGACACTGACGTGCAGAACAACCCCGATGATGAGTTCTTTCGGGCGGCGAAGCGGCTCTTTGACACGCACCCCTCTCGCTTTAGGCTGATGTTCACCTGTTTTCCCGAGCTGGATCGGGTGCTCTATCCGCTGCGACGGGGGCTGCAGATGATCGAGGAGTGGCGAGATCGGTCGGTGTCGCAGACGCTCGCTCGGCTGATCAATGCGGCCATTCGCCTGCGATCGGCCAGTTCAGTGCTGGGCAGTGCTGGCAAAAAGAAGAAGAACGACCTGCTGCAGCTGATGCTCGATGCAAAGTCCTCCGAGGAGGAGATCGCCAACACCAGCGCCGCCACGCTGACCATTGATGAGAACAGCGACAGTGAGGAAAAGGACGGTGAGGAGGGTAAACCTACCAGGGCGGAGAAAAGCCTTCGAAATGGCGGCAGCACCGCTAATGGTCACAACAACAGTCACAGCAAGCAGAAGGCGCTGAGCAAGGACATTGTCGTGGCGACGGCCATCGTCTTCTACGAGGTACTGTTGTGTGAACCGCTGATAACATTTGAATTTTACTAACATTCTCTATCTTCTATTCACCAGGCAGGATACGAGACCACAAGGTAAGGAAACATTTTTTATTGCATTTTGAACAAACTTAAACTTCTTTCTATTTCCACAGCACAACACTGGGCTTCCTGGCGCACATTTTAGTGACCCACCAGGAGATCCAGGAGAAGATCCGCGAGGAGGTGGTGCAGATGTACGAGAAAGAGGGCGTCTTTGACTACAACACGGTGAACCGCCTGCCGTACATGAACCAGGTGATCAGCGAGACGCTGCGCTACTACCCGCCGGTGACCACCTTTGTGACTCGCACCACCAAGGAGGACTACCACTACAAGGACATCGTCATTCCCGCCAACTCCACGGTGCGCATTCCCATCAATCAGCTGCACCACCGAGAGGACCTCTGGCCGGAGCACATGAAGTTCGATCCGGAGCGATTCCGCGACCGCTCGGTCATCGACCCCGTCGCCTATCAGCCTTTTGGTACGCTTTCTTTTAACTTTAGATGAGAACTTTCTTATTAATTTCTTTTTCCTTAACAGGCACAGGTCCAAGGAATTGTACGCTGCGAACGAACTCTTCTCCTGAACGTGAGATAAATTAATCTGTTTCATTTCTTTGCAGGCATCGGAATGCGATTCGCCCAACTGGAGATCAAGCTGACGATAGCACGACTGCTCCACAAGTACCGTCTCTTGCCGGGCCCAAGCACCGAGAAGGAGCTGACCGTGGAGTACAAGCCGATTACGCAGACGCCCAAAAATGGTGTTTGGGTGCGGGCGGTGCCGGTGTAACACATATAACTGTTTTTTACCACATTTAATAGTATACAACAAACAAAAATAAAGATGTACAAACCAGAGAAACCCAGTGATGTGTGGTCAGCTTCGGCGGTAGATAAACTCCACCTTTGAGTGATTGGCGATGATGGTCTGAGAGACGGTCCTGTCCTGGTCCAGGCCGATGACGCTGTTCGGTTCACTGCTGCTGACGGGCTCAGAGTTCATCTGAATTCGCTGCTGTCGATCGATCCACAGGTCGTACCGCCGCCAGACGTGTGCCCAGTTGATGTGTCGATGGGGGTTGTGAAGGTCACCCTCTTTTCTAGTGTTCATTCTAACTCGAAGCTCAATGCTACGCTCTACGGAGCACTTCAGCTCTCTAAGCGAATCAGTTGGACGGACGAAAGCTTCGGTGGTAGTTTGTCCGTCTAGAAAGTGAATCGTCAGCTGAAGAGCTCTCCCGTGATAACGGTCAACTTTGGACTGCAGATAGGCGGCCACTTGGTTGTTGAAGCGAAGTTGGCGGTTGTTGGTGTTATCTTTTGGGCAGCAGCTCAAAAGTGGCACGACGGTCTCCTTCAAAGCTGGATGCTCTCTGCAGATGGACTGTAGTTGAGCTTCGAGGTTGTCCATAAATTGAGCATGTTCAGAGAGGGAAATGTAGCGAATGTTTGTTTCCGGTGAACTGGTATTCAAAGTGGAATCGCCAGACATGATTGAAAGATTAAGTTTTATGACTACAATGTTTTAATTTCTCTTGTTCGTGATTGACTACTTTTAGCATTTATACAGAATTACGG